GAATATAACAAAGGTAATGACAATGATAGTAAACAACATTAAGCTACAAATGCTGTCAATACAGCATAACTAATATTTTACTCAAAATATTTAATTGTTAAATCTTTTATGAGATAGTATGGGATTCAATTAGATCAGTTAGTTTAGAGACAAAAGCACTGGCCATTTAAATATTGTGAATATTCTGTTGGTGAACAGTGTTGGTGAAGAAGACCATGGAATCTCTTCAGCACATTGAAAATTTGGGAGTGAATCTCTCTGTAAGTGAACACCCACAACTTCATTTAAATGACGGTCAATTTATCTTAGTACAAGAAAGAGCTTCTGGTTGTAGAGAAAGTAACAAGCCGTGATCTATTTATTTTCTTCCTTGTTGCTTCAGACACATTTTATAGCTCTAATAGAAGCCTTAATCAAATCAGACAGACTTTCAAACCGCTATAAAGGCGATGTCATAGGTTTTGATTGGTAACCTAATTAAACTGCACTGCATTTCCAGACGGCCTTCCTTCCTACAGCCTGGCTTTAAATTACCGTAAAACTAAATGATGCAGCAGATGTAGATCAGGCCCTCTAATGATCCCAGTTCTTTTCTCTCTATTTTCAGGTGCCCCTCAAAGTCTCATTGTCCACAGGACCATCATGGGGTTCATTGTGCGACATGAACCTCCCCTGCACCACTACAGCTACTTCTCTGTGAGTCTCCCGCTCTTCCTCTCCATCCCGTAACTATGGTAACCGGGCAGCTGCAGTTCCCAATTCTTGTTTCTCACTGATGTATCTGAGAGCAATGGTAGGAGCAAGCTGGATCGAACCAGTTCTTTTGGGGGGTGGGGGGCTTCTCTTGATTCATTTTTATCCTTTTACTGTTGGATTCGGTTCTTCTCACCGTTAGAAGCTAGTATCTCTTTGCACGAAAATAGAAGTAGCTATTAAATCAGTTTTTTTGGTTCATTTACACTGTTTGTACATCTTATGTTGACATATGCTCTTCAATACATCTTTCAACAAATAATAAATATGGGCCTTTGTCATCAAGATGACTTAATTTCATATGTATTATTGGCTTGGTGAGCTGATGGTGCTGCTATCTGTTTCTCAGCTGCTGTATTGGAACGTCTGTCTCCTGATGAATATTAATAAACTCAGTCCTCATTTAGTGAGTCTCGCTCACTCCATTTTAAACGCGTTAATCTTATCTCTTCCGTTTTCACGGCACCTCACAACTCTCTTCGCAGCAACCCACTTGCCTTTTGCTGTATCTCTGTCTCATGTGTACACAGTCCACACACACACACTGACCCAGATTTTCAGTGTCCGTCTGTGGCGTCAGGTCTTCTGTGCCCCCTCGCAATACACTCTATCAATACAAACACGCCCTTGAAAAATGTTCCAGTCACTGTGCTTGTTGCTGTTGTGTTTTCAGAGGCGGTAACGGCGCAGATGGCTGTAACCCCCTCTGAATGTCATGATATCCCTGAAAGCCTATTCTTAAAGGTCTGGCGCTGAGAGTAGAAACATATTACCCTGCTAGGTCATGATCCGTCTGTTCTCTTTTAAAGTCATTAATTAATGCTCAGCATCACTGAGATTTGGTATAAGAGAAGATCCTTTAGGATGTGTAATGGGGGGGTCAGTAATGAGATTACCGGTATGTTTTAAACAAATCATTTGAGTCTTCCATATTACTTAAGGCTAAGAACTGTATTACAGTTGGCCTGTTTACACCTGGTCACTTAATGCGTTTTCTCTGATTGGATAGCTATCTGATTTATTAAAACGGTTCCATTTACACTTGGCCACATAAATGTGTCTCTGCAAAATGGATACATATCCGATCCTCAATTCCCCATGCTATATGCAAATTTAACGGAGTTCACGTCAACAAAAGCAACAGATATTTTTATTCACCAACAGCTAATTTCAAGATCAAAGCCCGCAACAAGAGAGAGCGCGGCATCAGCACTGGAAAGATAAGTTAGTCTCACTACTTTTAATGAAGATGATTGTGTGTTGAGCGCAAATGAAACTGAGTCTTATTTTCAGTTTCATTTGCGTTAGTTTGCGTGTCGGCTTGCTGAAGAGATAACTCAGCTACTCATCCGTGGCGATTCATGTTGTATTAGCGCTGGAACATCTGGCTATGACATATGATATAGCCTATAACACGCTCTCATACGTTTATTATTTTAATATTTTGGGAGGAGTAAATTTGCTTATCTGGTTTCAAGAACCAGATGCATTTATACTTGTCCAGTTTCGTCTGGAATTCGTCCCAGACCAGCTCCTGAAGTGGTTTGAGCGATCAGATTTAAATCCATCTCGAAAGCATTTCGGAGGGCATTTACACATGGTCTTTTCATGATCAGATAGCTATCGGATCAGAGAAAACGCATGAAGTGACCAGGTGTAAACAGGCCCAAAGTTTTGACAGGCCCAAATCAAAGGTCTTTTCAAAGGCCACTGCTGTCAATAGCATTTCCAACTATATTGCCATAGTAAGAGTTAAATAGTTTTGCCCTAATTTAACTAGTTTGTAACTTTTGAAAGACCTTGAGGTGTGTGCATTTGTCGCTTTTAAAACTTGTTCAGACACACATGTACAAGCTTTATGAATTGTTCCTTTAATTGATACAGTATGTACATCCTTTTCTTTCATAAGTCAGGAAAACTTTTCTTTACATCTTTACAAAGTTCCTGTGTATTGAGGAAATGAAAGAAAAGGGGGGAACTTAAACAGCAGTTTAAAAAAAAAACTCTAAAGGAAACTCAGGCAGTACAGTGATTTCAGACTCAAAGAACCAGGTGATCACTGCGACCAAACAGGTAAAGCAAGGTCAGATTTACCATAATGAAAACCTCAAACCTCCTTTTTTCTTTCCCTAAACTCCATTCTACCCAGCCCTCATTATCATACTAGACCCAGCCCCATTTGTGGCTCCTGACCCCGCCCCCATGTATGGCTGCATATCATTTCCCTGCTGTGCTTTGTGTGGGCTTGTTTCTATAGTAACAGGCAGCCAATGACTGAAATGTGACCACGCTGACATAAATGGGGCAACTAATGCCAACTTACACCGGAAATTGTAAACATGAGCATTTCTAAAGCAAAGAAAAAGTGTTACTGCCAACTTGTGAAATTATCTTTTAAGTGCCATACATTTCCAAAGTATTTCCAGGGATTTACCCATAAATTAGCAGTCATTTACAATAATTAGTAACCCACCAGCAATTTACAATGCTTCTAAAAGCCCATAATAAGTGCTATGGGGATGCAGGGTCTCTGAAAGTTGCTTTTGCTCGGACTGGCACAAACGTAAGCTGATTTGTATAGTTAGAATTGTGTCTCAGTTTACAGTTGTTTCCCAAAGTGTATTGTTTTTTTTTTTTTAGTTTTTTGTAAACATCTTAGTTATATTCATATAGTTTCTGTTACAAAATGATCATAAAATGTCCCCAAATGCTATTTACAGCAAATTACACTTTACAACTTTACATATATTAAAATGTTAATAAAAAAAGGTTAATTGTTTTTGTTTTCAAGAAAAATCATAAAAGCTTTGTTAATATGAACCTGTGCGTATTGCGCCACTTGTAAAACTGGTTGTGTGGTGTTAATTTCTCTGTTTTGATCATTGTCACAGATTGTTGGAGACTGCACTCCTTGTGAATCAGGAGACAGTGGATATTTGAGACTGATCAATCGTGGTTCAGAGCATGACGCAACTTTCAGAGGCCCATGACATCACCCAGTCACAAAGGTTTTTCACTTATTTTTGCGGGCGTCATATCAGTACAACATAAAAATCCACCGTAAACTGAAGAATTCAAGATGCAAGTAAACATGTTAGTTGTAATTAGAATTGAGGAAATATAAAACACAATGAGAATACACAAAAAATAAAATTCACATTCACACTTTGTCAGGCCTTGGCTTGCCCGTGGTGATGTTGCTGTGCCAATACTAATAACATCTGAGTGACTGTCACCAGTAAAGTATGAGGGATTGAACATCAATGCAGCATTTAAAAAATTTTATAATCTCATGGATCATGTTCTTATGTTTTTTTATTCCAACTGTGATACTTTGTATTATTGCTCGATAAACTGGCACATAGGTTTGATTTCCAAATGAATTCTACAAAAATGAGTTGTGACAACATCTTAAAGACAAACGGCAAAAGAAATGAAATGAAATACAGCAGACATCTCGACTTTGGCAAATTTAAAGGGTTAGTTCACCCAAAAATAAAAATTAGGCTGTGTTTTACTCACCCCCGATGCATCCTAGGTGTATATGACTTTCTTCTTTCAGACGAATCCAGTCGGAGTTATATTAAAAATTGTTTTTGATCTTTCAAGCTCTATCGTTGTACTCAGCGGGTGTAGAATTCCTTCTGTCCAAAAGACGTGAAATAAAAAGCACCCTTCCACAAAAAAAAAAAGTGTCTCACACCGCTCCGAGGGGTGAACAAAGGCCTCCTGTAGCGAATCGATCTTCTGTGTACAACAGTGAGCGCAAGCTAGATTAAAGTGATTATTACGTTTTGAATATGGATATTTTTCTTACAAAAACGCATCGATTCGCTACAGGAGGCCTTTGTTCACCCCCCGGAGCCGTGTGAGACACTTTTTTTTGTGGAAGGGTGCTTTTTATTTCACGTCTTTTGGACAGAAGGAATGCAACACCCGCTGAGTACAACGATAGAGCTTGAAAGATCAAAGACAATTTTTAATATAACTCTGACTGGATTCGTCTGAAAGAAGAAAGTCATATACACCTGGGATGCATCGGGGGTGAGTAAAACACAGCCTAATTTTTATTTTTGGCTGAACTAACTCTTTAACTTTTAAAAAATACTGTCAATGCATTGTAGTGGATAATAGATATGAGACAAACCCTTATTTAAAAAAAAAAAAAAAGAAACCAAAAAAGAAAATAATCATACAATTGTGCTACAAGTGCCACTAACTCCTTGCCACTTGAAGCTTATTTAAAAAAAAAAAAAAAGAACCAAAAAAGAAAATAATCATACAATTGTGCTACAAGTGCCACTAACTCCTTGCCACTTGAAGCCACAATTAGGGGAGTGCTTTCAACCTAGAAAATGAAGGGAGAAGGGAGCAGCTCCACACTTTGGTACCTTGGCTTGTTCCATGCATCACCTAAAGGGTGACAGTGATGAAGCAAGACCATCTACCATTGTGGATTTTCTCTGACTCCCTTCTCTGTTAAGTGAAACATTCTTAGCAGCCATCTCTTTCATGCAGGTTACCAAGGTCAATCTGAATGCCTTATCAACTGTTCTTTCGAACTAACACTAGAAATGTATACACAAAGAGTGCACTTTATTTCTGTGTTGTTGTTTTTTTCTTTTTCTTTTTTTTAAGACTTGGGTAAAACCCCAGCTTCTTATCCTTGCGTAACAACTCGACTGCCCTCTTGAGCACCTCTCCAACTTTCAGAGACATTCACTAGCCAATCAAGTAACCAATGTAAACCCACATATGACACACTAACTGTATACATAAATCCAATTTAATTGAGCCTTTAGCATGTGCAAAAGTTTTAGCATGTGCAAAACTAGCGGCATGATCAGGGACTGGTCAACGGTTTAGTTAAACACAAGCAGTGATCATGGTGTTCTTGCACTTGCTTGCAATTTTAGCATTACAATAAGGCTCTCTTCAATCTGGCAACAATACATGCACCTTAAACATGAAATCCCCAATCCCATGCTAACTGCATTCAGAATAATAAGTTAAGGATTTTCAAGGCAGTTGCACTACAGTATAAGAATAACACTCATAGCAAAAGACCTCAAGTACATCAAACACTGTTCGAATCTGGATCTTCAAAATACGCAATACATTGCTGATTGCCGTGTACATTCACATCCGCCAGCACTATGGTAAATCCCATTAAGACATTTGTGTGATTTTTCCAGTTGATCTGATACTGATTCCTAAATGTTGGATTGAATACAACTTCATGCTCCTTATGTATTTTCATACTGTATTCCATTTATGTGTTTGATTATTTGTGGATTGTTTTGGCCTTTCACAGTTTAGCGCAAATGCTTCACAAGATCTCAGGTAAGCAATCTGTAGCCTGTTTGCTTTAGGTTTACACTGCCTTTCATGTTGATAGTTTAAATATCCCATCATGGATTTAATCAGCCCAACCTTTCTTCTTAAGGATGTTAAGTGCATTCAAACCAAAAGTCAATTTTAAGGGAGACAGGTGAATACTATGTCTAATTTGACTGCCACACGCAACTGGCAAAGCTGTGTCTAGTGAATTGCTTTCTTGGTGCCTTTGTGTTTCAACCCACATGGCTAAAATAAAGACGTCCTCACAAGTAAAGGGAGAAGCATCACATAACTGAACTGTAGTCAAAACGGCGCATTCAGATTAATCATTTTCAAGGCCTTCTTACGAGAAAAAGGACATTTCACAATATCCTAAAAGATGACCGTAAGAATTTTAGAATGAACTTAAATTACGTAGAAATATCAAAAGAAACAGCTCCACTTTTAAGACTTGCCATGTGAAAGATGGCATTTTCTTGCTCATTTTTCTTTCAAAGACGTTTCATGCAACAACAATTTCTTTGAACAATGAAACACATATTTGTTATATGTTCAGTTAAAAAAAGAAGCTTGTTTTACATATTTTTAAATATACTTCTTTTCCAGGGCAGGCACCGTACGCACAAACCAGGTACAGAGGCATGCCACAAACTTGCATTGCTTTTGCATTCTACTATTGGCAGCTGTGATGTCATTGAAGCAGCAAGCTGGTGGGCAGTCCTATTATTTGGTTGATCCCGAACATCTCACATTCTAAGCCATGCCCACAACTCTCCACACTGCTACTGTGACATCACAGAGGGAGGGAGGTATGGGGATAGTACAAGCTAGAATGGGAAAAAGGCAGCGCAACAAGACTCCGTGGCGCATGCAGAGATGGGTGTGGGGTTGAAAGGTTGGGGACGTAAGGGAGGGAGAGGTCTGGCCCAGGGTTGCAGTCAGATATTCGGAAGAGGGTGGGGTTAAAGTCGAGGAAAACGGACGATGTTCATGTTTGTTTGTTTTTTTGTTGTTGTTGTTTTTTGTTTTTTTTGCACTACATGTTACTTCTATGTATTTTAAATCACATTTAGTTTCTTAAATTTATACAACATTATGTCACAGATGAGGCTCATTGTGGTTTGTATCTCTCCCTGTGCTGGTACTGTGATAGGAGGATAGAGACAGAGAGAGATTATGGGTATGTCATATATATGTATTCAAACATTTTACATATACATATTGAATAGTTGCAGAATATAAAGCCTTATATATTGTTTACTTATACAGTCCCTTTTTTGTAATATTTATCCAAATTTAGGTTTGTGCTCAGTTTAATTTCGGTTTTATCAGTTATATTGCTGCTTTTATGCCACCCAAGTTGAATTTGAATACACTTGGAGTCTGATTGCATTTGTTTTTGCTTCGTTTGTATTTTAGATATTGCATCGGAGGAGCAATATTAAACTGGGAAGCATGACCACAATTCAGCAATTTTGTAGTAAGTATTTTTCCCTAAACCCGAATTGTGAAATTACCCACAAAGTGTACAAGTTTAATCAAGTCATTATTAAAGCTTCATCAAATAGGTACACAAATAGATACCTGCTAAAATCGGATCAATGACAACTGTGATACAGATTATCACAGTATATGAAATGTGTGTACTTTTAGGATCAAATTTCAAGCGATTTTTTTTTTCTAGATTTCAGAAAAGTGACTTTTCTGTAGCAATTATATCTGTAAACACGAGTTTCACTGACTGTTACTTTTAAGTGTAAAGAAACATCTTTTTCTTTATCGTTCTCTTTAACATGATGAACATTCATGTTTTTCTAGTAATTTCTGACCTTAATGTTGATAATGTGGCTCAGCACTAGGAACCTGCTTAACAAAACAAATAAAGATTATATTGCAAAGTTGTTATCGTAACCTATTAAACGGGGGGTGCTTAGGGATATAAATCACTGGGTTCATAATATTCCACATTTCTAGATCTTTTTGTTCATTGGTTAGACACAGTTAAAAAGTCTGTCCTTTGGACTAAAAATTACAATTAGTTGGACTGTTTGACTCCACCAGACTGCTGCTGTTGCAAGTTTCAAACGTACTTCCTCATGAGGAAGGTGGCATCTGAAAAGGTGGATCAAACCTTACTACCTCTTTCCCTCCAGTTCCGATGTCCACTGGATCATGAACTTTGTTTATAGTGGTCTGTGCTACTGTGCCTTGATTCCTTAACAAAACAAATAAAGATTATATTGCAAAGTTGTTATCGTAACCTATTAAACGGGGGGTGCTTAGGGATATAAATCACTGGGTTCATAATATTCCACATTTCTAGATCTTTTTGTTCATTGGTTAGACACAGTTAAAAAGTCTGTCCTTTGGACTAAAAATTACAATTAGTTGGACTGTTTGACTCCACCAGACTGCTGCTGTTGCAAGTTTCAAACGTACTTCCTCATGAGGAAGGTGGCATCTGAAAAGGTGGATCAAACCTTACTACCTCTTTCCCTCCAGTTCCGATGTCCACTGGATCATGAACTTTGTTTATAGTGGTCTGTGCTACTGTGCCTTGATTCGTGTGTTTCAAGGGTGAATCTGTCACTGCAAACAAATTTACATTTATATCCAATTAAGATAAAATCATCTGGGCTATTCATTTGTTCATGGCAAGATGACCATGAAAAGAAAGAGTAAGAGCAGAAAATGAAATAAAATAAAATGAATAAAAATAAAGGCTGTAGGAACAGATATGACTTTAAAAAAAAAAAAAGCCCAAAATATAAATAAATAGGAAGAGGACCGGGTCAGTGGGTGGTTCAGGGTCGTCGCCGGCATAGTCGTTTATATTCTATCTTCTGCGCTCATGTTAACTTTCTGTCTCTCACTCTTCATGAAGCTGCAATCGGTACCGGCTGTAGCGAATCTGGAAGAAGAGCCTCTCCAGCGGTGAACGGGTCATCCCAGGCAGCGTGTAGTCCTCAGTGTCTCCCATTCGCCGGAAACCCAAAGACTCGTACAGCTTGTGGGCGGCCATCTTGACTGCAGTTGTTCCCAGAACCACGGCCGAGTAGTTGTTTAGCATGGCAAATTCTAGAACACGTCGACCCAGAGCCTTGGCGATGCCTTTTCCACGGAAGTGAGAATCCACTGACATGCGACGGAGTTCCATGGTGTTGTCGTCTTCTCGGCCTTGCGCTGCCACGATGCCTACAACCTGGCCTTGCAGAACTGCCACCCAGAAACAAGAGCCTGTGGGAATCAAAACAAAGAGATTATCAGTTTTGTCTTTAGAGTAAACCGTTGCCAACTATTTGTAAAAGTTTTAATTTAAAGTGAAAGAGTAAGATCTTTTTCTGCCCTCTAGGGTCATGCTTATTTCCATCTAAATCTAAAATTCATCATAGAATGGGCTGCTTTTCAACACCTCATCGTTCGAACATCAAGCCAATCAAATCATTCAGTTCTAGACTAATTGAAATCCATTTATCTTACATTATATAGAAAATCAATTCAATAAGATAGCCGATGAGCGGTTATTCAAGCCACCATGCTAATAGCCAATCAATGTGCTGCAGTGAAATAGTAAAGCAGAGTTAAACTCTTTTCAAGTTTATATTATATGTATTCATTTAGCACACCTTTCTCACGTGATCAACCTTATACATTTTTCAAATGCTGAAAATAAATTTATATTCACCTGGAGATATATAACGATGTGCATTAGTGTGAGTGCAGCTTACAAACAGATTGTGTTCTGAAATATGAAACCATATTTAAGTGTAACTTGTGTAGCAGTCTGTTTTATGTATTTTTCTGTTTTATCTGATTTATGGATCATGCCAGTGAAATTCAATTCCAATTGCCCGGAATTACAAATGCCCAAATGTGCTATTAATAGAATATAACACATAGAAGACATTTTTGTGATTAGCTCATTGTTATCTTCATCTTGTAATGTGCAATGGAAAGGCTGTCGAAATCATTTGTTTGAAACATTTTGTTACTGGAAGAGTCATAAAATATGTGCACCATCAAAAGTATTGAAATGTATTGGTGAGTCCCATGATTGACGTAATTAAAATGCTCAGCTCAAATGCTGATTACATCACCGCTGATGACTTGCCTTAATAATTCTCAGAATTCCATGACTTGGGGGAATTTGGGAAGTGTTTTTGGAATGAAGTGCACATTTTTCTTGTCGGGTATGTCAACTGTCATCTGTAGGTCAGATCAGAACAGGAGCAGATTATGGTATTTCTAAACTTATACATTGTTTTTCTCATATTAAACATTGTTTATGCTTTTAAGGCTCCGTTCTGTTCTGCTGAACTAACTACGTTACTTATGGAGTTGCAGAAAGAAAGGAGATAAATACAGCAAGGGGCAGGACTGTCGCATCTGTGCCACAGAAGCTCCAAAGAATACAAATACACAAAGACGGGACTGGGCTCGGTTTCTCCAAGAAAAAACAAGTATATGGACAGGCAAAGGTATGTCTGAATGGATGCGTTTTAAATGACTTGATGTTATCTTCCATCATGCATATTGTTTTTTCGTTAAGAATCATCTTTATAAGTCTATTAACTTCTCTGACACACTCTTTTCTATCTACCAAGATTAAATCCTCCCTGTTCATCACATATCTTCTAAAGTATCTATCTAGTATCTTCTAAAATCGAGAAACTCTCTCTTTATTCTGCAAGTAGAAGCACAACATAAAATATACAGTATCAAATACTGCATAAGTGTAACATTTATGTAAAAGGAGTTGCAAGCTTTCTATGTAAAGTAGTACTAAGTTGTATGATTGTAGTACTAAGAATATCACTATGCTATGTTGCGACATATTGCTATATCACACAGAGAGGTGTGTGTGTCATGACTGCATTAGCTTCAGGGCTGAGAAGCACTATTAATCACCGTGTGACTGAACATCCTGCTGTACACTCATTAGTTTTACTTCACACACATACACTTGCACAACCCCCTCCCCAGCTGTCTGATAAATGCTTTTCTTGTATTATGTGCAAGGCCACTAAAATGGAGAAAAATAACATTAGCCAATAATATTGAACAACATTTTATGATCCAATCAAATCCAGATGGATAAAATTAAAGTCCAATCTCACATTATTTCCTGCTGAATATGCAGTTTCACATCACATTAAATAAATTAAATGTTTCACAAATACCATTTAATGTTGTCATTAATAACTTGTAGGTAGCATAACAAATCTGTGTATTTTCACATATTAAAGTGATATCTTCCTGCTTTATATTATGGGATGTTTGTTATCTTCCAAGTGTCTGACAGAAATCCTGTCCCTGCAACTCCAAATAGGTGTTTAGAGCATTATAGTAACATCTAGCTCACCCTGGCAGATAACCCATATATTCTACCATTCCCTCTTCAGATGCAGGATTCCACATTAGCATAGCAAGAGAGAAAATCCCTTGGGAGAATCCTTTGTCTGCATGCTGCCACTAAACAAAACTACCATACATACTCACAGCGGGGCTTTGATTCACACCTTCCCCCATTTCCTGACCCGACTTCAATTCTCTCTTTCATTTGATGCAGGACTAAATAAGAAGCCTGTACGCTTAGAAACTGTCTGCACCATGGACTAACAACTATTTTTATATAAAGAAATACTTTCATTCAATAAAGATGCATTAAATTTATAAAAATTAAAATGTAGACATTTATAATGTTTAAAACAATTAATATTTCAAAATTGTTCTTTTGAATCGTAATATTGTGAAATGTTATTACAATTTTAAATATATATATATTTTCTATTTTAAAATGTAATTTATTCCAGTGATGACAAAGCTGGGTTTACAGCAGCCATTACTCCAGTCTTCAATGTCACATCATCCTTCAGAAATCATTCTAATATGCTGATTTAGTGCTCAAGAAACATTTATTGCTATTATCAATTTTGAAAATGGTAATTGTTTTTAGGATTCTTTAATGAGCAAAGTTTTGTTCACTCATAACGTCATTCTCCAGGGCACGCACAATAGACTTCTAAAGCCAATTCACACAGCACCATCAGACACACACAAAGGGCAACAAACATGTTATTCGGGTTTTGTCAGATCAGTGTGTTACCCCCGTTGACATCTGTTGTCATAGGTTGGCAACAGATGCCAGTTATCTTTTGTCTGGTCTTGGAATGTCTGAGTGAGTGACGTACTGTAATTTGGTGACTGACACTGGCGGTTTGTGTCTCTCCGTGCAGTGTGAATTGGCTATTATGATTAACTTGTTTTACAGACCCCCATAATTTTTTTTTATCTCTGTGTTATATATTTCTAATAGTGTCTAGTGACAGAGCAAATCTGCTTGACTCATTCTGAGTAAGTAATGTGCGGAAACAAGCAGCATACACAGGTCCAGATCTAATATACATGCGCACTAGGGGTGTAAAAGAGACCCTTTTAAACTTCTAGCGATGAATTGGAGAGATCATTCTGACCAGCAGCATCTGGCTGTTTGGTATCGCAGCTGTTCTGAATTTGATCGTGAAGTGCTGCAGCAGAGTTTATCATGGGCAATAAATGTCTGTCCTTACACTAACGCTGTCTGAGGAAAGCCCATAGAGTAATAAAAGATTTCAGCCACCCAGCACTCAATCTGCACATGCTACTACCATCTGACAAACAATTCCAGAACACCAATCATAGACAACTAAGTTAAAGAATACTTTGTACCTGCAAGTCATCAGGGTACTGATGAGCCACTAGCGAACCTCCATTATTTTGTCTCTTTCCAAGTGTACTTTTAATAATATCTGCAGTATTTATTAGTATGTTTACTACTGTATCACAATCACATACACAGTTTGTCTCTTTACTGTACTGCGTCTACTGCTAATTTATCCACATCAAAAAAGTATTTGCTCAGTTTATCACTAAATTCTATGTTCTCTTTGTGCTTAAAATTTAAATACAAGAGGTATTTAAAATTTTTTTTTTTGGGGGGTACATTACGGATTATAACTGTAATTCTGAGTTTGCCTCAATACAATTTGTCTCAGCATTTTTCCTGCCTTCAATCAATAGGGCCGCATGACTCCAAACAAGTTATCCTCAAGAGCAGAACCGAGACAGACTTTCTACATATTTCATGAGTCTTCCGCATTAAAGCTACACATCAGCTATTCATCCCCTCTTTGACTCCTAAAGTGCAGTATTTAACCTCAGTATCACAGGTACCGATCCTGAGAGTATTGTTCTGGTGAGATAAATGTTTGATTGGGGAAGCTGGTGCATTGTGGGATGTCTATACATTGAACTATTTTTTTTTTCTCTTTTGAAGTAAAATATTGTTAATATTTCAGTAATGAAATGTGTAGTTTGTAGTGATTAGCATAAATATACTCACTATCAAGTGCCCAGGTGCTATTTGGCATAGACATGTTTATACATCATACATTATATATTAATATATAGTGATTTTTTTATATAATAGACGTCGGTGACTTCACCAATACAATGAACTGCTTACACACCACAGAATCTCCAAACATTAAGTGCATACAGTACCATTCAAAAGTTTGCCAGTAACATTTTTTAAAGAATTTTTTTATTTTTTATTAGATTGATTAAAAGTAACAGTAACGATTTTTTTATATCGTCACAAAAAAACAATCTATTTTATAAAAATTCAGTTTTTTGAACTTTCTATTCATCAAAGAATCACATATTAGAATGATTTCTGAAGGAACCTTTTATTTATTTATTTATTTTGGACTGCATTTTTGTTCAGATAAATGCAGCCTTGTTTTAAAAAAAATCTTACAGACCCAAACTTTTGAACAGTAGGTCATATGTGTGTCCAGGTTTGGCTATACTTATGAGGGCCATATTTTCTTACAATGTCCTCACAAATGTAGTAAAACATGTTGAAAACCTAGTTGTGAGGGTAATTTTGTGTGAATGTGTGTGTGCTTGA